AGGCGCCTGTTTTAAGTGACCAAACCCCTCAAGGATATGCAAGAGAAGGGTAGTCAAAATGGAAACGAAGCTTACTAACTGACACAAATGCCGGGTAAAGTAGATTGCTGTTGGAGGACAAAAGCCTTCCAAATAGTACCTTCGAGTTAAAACGTAAAACAACGCATAATCAAAGAACTTTTTTGCTCTTTCTCTGTAACGTACAAGTCCAGACGATCCCGAGATAACTACTTTGACTCTTGTTGGTTGTTTGCAATCTAGCCGTTCATCATGATCACGGATTTTCTTATTTTTCTTTCATGAACAACTCACCTACTACAAACAACAAAGTCGTGGGCCACACTTTAGTCCCTGGGAAAAGGAGGGTGATTTTGATGCACTCTGTTCCACATGGTCTTCGGGTCATGCTTTTGGCTTCTCCCTCCATCTGTACGCTTGTAGGTGCATGTTATTCCACCACTGCTTTGGGTGTTTACGAATCTGGGTAAAATACCAGGTGGGGCGACACATTTCCCTTTGGCATGGACGATCAGAACTAACCGAATAAGACCGAAGACGTGTCCGTTAATGCAAGAGGGGGAGGTGCGTGTCGAGAGGAGGATCACATTTGCCAGCCCACCTGCACGCTAGTAAGCAGCATGCTCTCCCTTCACCACCACCTCAGGTGGTTAGAACTTCTGGCAATGGAGCCGTGAGTATATGCAAAAATCTTCGTCGGCGGTGGTAAAGACCATCCAACTGAGGTGTTAAAGTTGTCAGGGGTTGTGCTTATTTGCATCAGGCTTGGTGTGCGTGCAAGGCGAACGGCGCCAAAAGTGGTAATAAAATTGAGACAGTGGGGAGGGCGTGTGGCGGTGGGGAGAGAGTGGATAGCACTCACTCCGTTTTATGTTTGCATTAGAGGAAATAGGCACAAATAATTCATTCCTCATTTTCTGCTCTTTTCATTAAAGCAGCGTTAACTCTAGCGTCAACTGTTGCCTCAAAAGATCTTCTACTTATTTGCACAGGAATTTCAGTTGACTTCCAGAAGTTCACACCTGTATTTTTGCATTTTATGTCCAAAATCAATCATCCCAATAATAATTGAGGGCATAGCTAAAAGGCAAATTTGTA